AAATCGCACGATTTTTCCGCCCCAACCACGAGCTGTGTTCATTTCATGCCTTTTCACTCGCCTTTTCTTTGAGTGAAACTGTGCGCGCGAGTTGAGTTCTTTTCCTCTGCTGAGGCCAACATGTTGCGAGCGTTGGTCCCCCTATCTAGAGGCCCCTCTCACACTTAAGATTAATCAATGTTCTAGGCCTACAACTGGAGCCGCGGCACCTCAAAAACACCTTAAACTTGTTTAATTTATATCAGCACTACGCTAGTTTTGCTGGCCTCTTAAGAATACCCGCCCACCCGCTCCCTTTGTCATTTCACTATTCATTAATTCTACTTACTTTGTGTTTTTTTTTTGTGTTCATTTTAAGATTCTTTTCATTTTCATTTTATGGTTTTTATGCGGGTCTTTATGACTTTTATGGGGTTTAGTGCGTGCCAAAAACGAAAAAAAAAAAACACAACAACTTTTAATTGAATAATGCCCAGGCGGCCGCCGGCGTCAGCTTTTCGGTTTGTTATTGTTGCTGTTGACTGTTGGCTGTTGTCTGGGGCGTTGGCGTCGACGCCCGCAACGGTAATTAGGTATATAAACATTTAATTGGCTAATTCAAATTGGAAACTGCCACGAAATTCCATATGCATTTTAATTGGGTCAAAAAACTGAAACCGAACTGAATTTGAAGTGGTTCTGGTAAAGATTTGGGCCTTAGCCAGATTAAAACTGAGTGTACCTCAAGAAAAATTGAATAGAGAAAGGTCCCCTTTATATAAAAGTAAAGTGGCGTTCGGGACCCATAGAGACCTAGAGATAATATAATATTATTTTAGATTTTTGTAGGGCTCTAATGTAATTGTTAGTCTTATTTATAAAATATTTGATAAACTTATGCGAGTCCATTTTTATGAGGCCCTCTAATGTTGAAATGTGCCTTACAAGTGTCGTAATTCTGCTCAGTGCACAGTTTATGGGTCCAAATAATTGGCTGTAGTTAAATGCAGGAAAAGGTAAGCTGATAAATTACAAAAAATTATTTATAAAAAAAAAATAAACTTAATAATATAAATAATCAGCAACTGGAACTTGTCGCACCAAGCACTTGGCCCGCCGTACTCATCATAATTGCCAGCAGGGCTGGCGGACGCGAACGGATCGCATTAATTGAAGTTTTTAATATGCTTGCCCTCTTTCTGGGCAGTGGACGGGCAGACGATGGGTTGAACGGGAAGTGAGTGTAAACACGACATGAAATGTGGCCATTGCCAGCTACTTACACGGGGCTGCAACAGGAATTTGCGTGTGCAGCACATGCAGCAATCCACATGCCGCATGCAACATGCCCACTCGACCACTTGGGCAACCGAAGTCAGACTTTAGGACCCCCTGGTCGGGCAATGCCAACTCCTTTGGCATGCCGCGCGTGAAAGCCTGCAAAGGATGCAATTTATGACCGGCACAGGCTCATGTAATTGCACGCAATGCTGTTGCCGTTGCCATTGCCGTCGCAGCCAGCGAGGAGTCGGCGACCTGAACGGGTCGAGTTGGTGTCGGTCACACGAGTTTCAATTTTTCAAAATTATGAAAACAGCAGAGCAAAAAGTGTAAGAAATGAAAAAAAAAAAACATACACACACACTGAAAAACAAACAAAGCACCCAGGACACGTCCTCATCCTGGCTGCTGTTCGCGTCCGGGCCGCATGTGGCGCTGCCTGCCTGCAGCGAGAGTCCATTTGCCACACCAAGTGCCACACGGATCGGTTACGTGGAATGTCCTTTTAATGGACTTTACACACTCACACTGCGCTGTGGACGCAGCGCGTCGCATCCTTTTACAAACCTTTTACGTTGCACTCGTGTTCCGCGCCGTTTGATTGCCGTGAATTGCTGCCGCATGATTTTCATCCTATTCCGCCAGTTTTCTTTTTCATTTTTGCATTGTCCTGCCTCTCTCTCCCCTTAGTTGCTGCCCCCGTCACAGGCACGTCATAATTTCTCTGTGTCCTGCCAGGCAATTACGGGACATCGTAAGCGCAGTGAGCAGTTGGAGGACAGCTGACCAGTTGCTCAGTTGCCCAGCTGACAGATTCTTTGCGTTCATTAGCGGCACACAAATGGAGAAATTTTAAAGGGATTGTGTAAAGAAATTCTCAGAAAACTGATGAGCTGAATAGGTCTAAGGTCCCTGTTGGCTTATGTGCTATTTGTGTGTCTTTTGCTAAAAAGCGACGGCTTGTTGACCTTTTTAAAAACTTTTTTTAAGCTCTTATTGCTTTTTTATAAAAGAATGAAGATGTAAGCCGGAGACCTTACGCTTCTTAGTCCGATTGAGCTACGCTGGCACAAGTTTATTTTTTAATTTAAAAGCTTAAATTAATTATTGTTTTTATAAATACTAACTCACTTTTCAATATACATTTTGTATTATTTGTAAACTAGTCTAACATATTTACGTCTTTATTGTTTATTTTTTAATCCTAATACTTAATTAGAAACTGATTGACATTTTTGTGAAAAAAAAACTTTCATACATTGTAATATTTGGAAATCAAAAATAACACAATTTATCTCTTAGACTTATAAAACTTAAGATTGTGGAATGAGACATATATTTATTTATACAAATCAGAAAAATGTAATATTTCCGCTGTTAAAGCAACTCAAATAAATCATTTAACTGAAATATGAAAACCATTTTAAAAAAGCCTAGTACAGTCCACTTTATGCATTTATGGCCCTTGGTCGGTGTGTTAGTTGACATCTCGTGCAGTTAGTTGGATAGGGCGTGTGGTCTCCCTGGGCACCCTGGATGCCATGGCAGTGGCAATGGCGACGGCATTTTGGTAGTGTCAGAACTGACGCTGAATTTATTACCGGGGCTTTATTTATGCGCTTATCGCGTTGCCAGTTGTTGGCCTTAGCACGTTGTCAAGTGTTTATCTTGGCCCGAACCCCGGACCAGAGCCCCACAACCGGAGCCAGTTGGCAGCGAGATTCAGTCGAGAGCTCAAATGGAACGAAACGAAATACCTAAAAAGCTTAAAATTGAATTTATGACTGCAACTAAATCATGCGACGAAAAAATAAGATGGAAGAACAGCTAACGCATGTTGTAAGAGTATCTGTTTTTGCATCTGTGCGAGTATCTACATTTGTATCTGTATCTCTTGGGCGTGCTGTGTGCGAGTGTATTGCATGAATGAGCCTGTCGCTTGATTTAGGTTCCATGCCAGAGTCAAATTTGAATAATAAATATTTCATAGTTACAACAACGAAACGAAAAGCGAGAAAATCGAAAGCCAAATGCGTAAAATATTCAAAACGGGTCGGGACTAAATCAAAATGTTGTCGAAATAAAACGTTTGAAAATTGAATTTTGGGATTCATGTTTCTTCTTCTTCTGTGCGCTCATCTCCAACCAAATTGAAAACATTTGTAACGGAAATGAAAACCATTTTTATTCACTCCTCCCCTCTCTGGCTTTGAGGAGGGGCAAAACTCAACCCAAAAACTCGACTCGTTGGCAACCCAGCGTTGGGGTCTGAATTTAAATTAAGAAATTTATCTTTTGAATACGTCTTTTTTGTTCATTTCGTGTTCCCTTTGTGCCTGCCTTTGTTTTGTAAGTCGTCTTTGTGTTTACACACAACAAAAACAGCAAAAAAAAAAAGCCAACAGAAATAAAAATCTCTCACCTTCTGGCATATAAAACTGACTATACATTTTTTGTCAGTTCATGTTTTAAGTAAAAAATAAAAAGATTTCTTAGATTTTATCAAGAACTCTTGCCGAAATAAATTTTAATTTATGCCCTGTTTATTTTGCAGCCATTTGGCATGCGCGAAACGAGTCGCATCGAGTTGCTTAATTTCATTTCAAAGATTTATTTTAAACGCGCAGTTTTGCACCTTGTGTTCAAACCTCTACTCGCCACGATTTATAAGAAACTTATAGGCAAGATCAAAGTGGGCGTGGAGCTGTATAAATTAGGGACCACCGACATTTGCATACGAGGTCTCGCTTCTTCTAAATAACTGTCTTAAATTAGTTGATATTTAGAAGTCAATAAAATAAATCTGCGCCGCAAATAATGTCATTTGTCAATGGGACTTTCGTTTAGCGGCTGCAGTATTTTCACAGTTTTTATTGTTTTCAATTGATTTTATTCGCGATTCATGCAAAATCTGTTAATAAAATGTTGAAATTATGTGCTAATGGCAAATCGTTTAGTTCCTCGCACAAACTGTCCAGTTGAACATATTTATTTACAAGCGCGCATTAAACTCACGTATCGAAAGCTATTGCTCAAGATTGAATATTGAATGAACATTCGAATGATATTTAATTGCCCCACTGAATAATCAACTGAATAAATAATTCGTTTTTATTGTGTGAAGTAATGCGTGAGAAAATGAAACAGCCAAAAAAAAAAACCTGGAACTTACAAAAATCAAATACACAAACAGAGTGCGAGCCGAAAAGTGGAACAACAACTTAAGACAAGATATTTTCTAAAAACAACATTTATACAAGTGAAATTGGTGAAATTGAAGAGTGAAAATAATAATTGAATATTTTATCATAATTGGGCCTAACAATGCTTTTATAAGGGTACTTACTACTCATTAACCAATTCATGGGGGTTCACTTATATAAAAAGCATGGGGAAATGGCGCAAAGGTTTACGAATAAATTCTATGTTCAATAAAAAGAAAACCAAGTGCTGCAAAGAATTGAATCATATTTAGCTTGAATCTTTCCTAGTCATAACTAAAATATTCAAACGTATTTTAAAAGTATCATTTGAAATTTAATTTGTATTGAATATTATATATATATATAACATTTCCTTCTTCTTCATTAGACTCGCCTAGGGCTAATTTCATATTATTTTCTTTGACCCTCTTTAATATTGTGAATGTTACAGAAGAAGAATATATTCAACCAATGTGATTTAAATTTAAAAACTAAACCTTAATTTAACACATTTTCCTTAAATTTTTTTTTAATTAGAGGACGCAGACATCTAGACCCAACCAACTAACAGATGCAATTAGACTACCACCCTGGACGAAGTGGTCAAAAAAATGTACAACATATGAGCATTAAAAATTCAAAATTCATTTAGGTGAGTGCCAGTCCACATATATATGAATAAATGTGAGTGTGGCCCCTTATTTATGAGTCCTTGTATATGTATTATAAATTACTCTGCGAATGTGTGAGTGTGTGTGCGTGTATATAATGAAACTGGACTCTGTTGCGTTGATGATATGTGGAGTTGAGCCCATAACTAGCACAGCATGGATGTATGTCAGTGTGTCTGTGGGGGAACTGAGGCAAAGGATATTTGGGACACTGGTCTGAAAGAGCGGGTAGAACGGACGTGCCGTCCAATTTGTGCCATGTGTGGCATGTTGCCCTTTCGCTGAGCCCAAAACACAAGAACGACAAAAAAGCAGAACCAGATACAGATACAAATGTAGGTGAAGTGCGGCCTCCGGCTGACCGCTGGGCGTTCACCGAGCCCGGTTCGAGGTCTGAACGAATCTCGAGCCAAAGCGAGTGGCATAAAATACTCAAAGACTCATTTGCATATTCTGGAAGCGGTAAATGTAACAGGGAAAGTTCTGCGGCCCCCAGGAAAAGCGACTTTTATGTGAGTTTTAATTCAATTTTTGAGCGCGTGTGTTGGTTTAGGTAATTAACAAAAGAACTTCGAGCGGTGCGTCTACATTTGTTATTTATGTATTTACGTCCGCCATTGTCGAGCCTTCTGACCCATCGCCATTCGAGTGGTTCTGCTGGCGGTGGAGTGATGCGCCCGCCTTGATACCGATCTAATTAAATGATTTATGAGCACTGGATTATGTTGAACTATTTGGGCTTTCGATAAGCGAGCAGCGATGCCGTCTAATCCCCGCCAGACGCAAATGCAACACCATGCTGCTTGCCACAGGCCACACAGACCCCACAGATAAGCGCATACAATGCGGCGGCTGGCAGGCGATATATGCTGTTGTTGCACTTCTGGCAATTTACGAGCTCGGATTTTGCATAGTTTCAAATGGCTGTAATACTCGTGCTGCAACACAAATTCAAGCCCAACACACAATTCATTTTGCTCGGCCCAACTAACCAAATCCCCAGCGTCGCACCACGGCATACAAATCTGCCGTTTTGCATTTGGCGGCCATATATCAAACTCCAGCGGGTCAGCAGAGCCACACGAATCGCCAGCAGAGAGAAGCCAGTGTACAATGGGATTAAACTACTCAATAAAAATAAGAAAATTTAACTTAAAAATAAATAAGCTCCCCTCGAGACTGTAAGGCTGACTTGCTTGTTAAAGGATAATTATTTATTAATTAAATACATTTATTATAATCAGCGAATCTCTCAAATCAAAGCAAGTATTGTGAAACAATATTTATTCTTACTCTTGCATAAATGTGCATTTTAAATATCTCTTGCCAATATATCACATGCCCCGTCCAGGTATTCAAATCCGCATCTAAGACAATACTTTTTTGGCTCTTCGAAATTTGATGCTTCCAAATAATATTGAATAACTGGAACTTCTCAATAAAAATGTATTTATTTTCTTCATTAATATAATTTGTTTTTTCACCATAGTTCATATTTGTTAGGCTTGGAACGGGTTTGGTCCTGGCTGCGAGCCGTTAAATGAGTGGCTCCACCAAACTCAGCGCCGGACTCAGTTTCAGTTGGCCGTTGAATGGCACCAAAATTTATGCACATTTTATTGACCAACACTGGGAAAAACACATTTGAGTTGTTGTTGATGTTGTTGTTGTTGTTATTATTGTTGTTGTTGGCACAACAACATGTCCAAAAGTGTTTTATGGTCGTTGTGGGTGCTCAAGTGGCCATTTTGGGCTTGCCGTCAGTCGGGGGATCTGCATATGCACTCGCTGGTCTTGTCCGACAAGCACTTGGCCGGCAAAATGTGTAGAGCCCTGAATACAGATGAGCATTGGCCCAGCTTAGACCGAGAACTAACTAAATATGGCTATTTGCGACTTGAGGCATTTGATTTATGCTGGCTGCTTGTGGATTTCTTTAAGCTAATCGCAATTAAAGCCGCTTCTTGGCAAGTCAATGACCTGGGCCAATCGCCAGCAGAGCAATGCGGTTCAAAGTCAAAAACTCAATTAGCTGCTGATGAGCGGCGACACTGGTGAAGCGGGAGGCGAGAGGCGAGGCACTTGGAACTCAGGAAGGAACTCGGACCGTGCCATCGTCTAAAAATAAATGTACATTAAAAAGCGCAATGGAGTCGACGGGCGGGCTGAAGTGGAAATCTCGTTAAAAGTCAATAACAGACGCCATTAAATGCGCATGAAAATGAAATGAGAAACGCTTGATGAGGCGGCCTGTGGGCTACACAAAGAGATTGGGGGCGCGGTCTCAACAGCAACCACAGTGGCAGCCACACGACCACTTGAGCCGGCGCGATCCAACGTTCATATCAATTCTGTATCGTAATTTGAGCTGACCTCAGAGCAGCCCAGACAAGTTCAATGGCATTTATGCATAATAAAATTCAAGATAGATAAATGGAAATATTTCAAAATACTTGTGAGACAACCAGAGATACCTTTTGAATGGCATAACGTTTCTTATATAAATTGCAATAGAATTGCAATATTTTTGGCTAAGAATAATAAGGCTTATCATATGTCTAAATGTACATATTAATTAAATGAACGGGGTCTTGATTGAAGAATTCAGAATAATAAAAACTAAGTAGGCTTTTAAAATCTCTACTCAGCTATGTTAAGCCGAGTTTCTAGGTTTCAGTTTAACAACAAATCTCACATTGAAAACATAGGCAACAATATTTTTGAATATTTATATTATCAATAAAAATTTCCAAAATCTGGTGAATAAGCTGAGCCACAATGAATCGCGTGCTGGAGGATGTGATCCACAGACACGCTGCCAACACGGATCGCATTACAGCTGAGAATACACTGGGCTATGTGGTCTCTGATAACACCACCGGCAATGTGGCGGCCACCTCTTTCGATAATACCAGTGCCCAGGGCATTGTGAAGCACATGAATGGCATTTTGGTCGGCATAGTGCAGAGCGCCGTCCGGGATCTGGATCCGACAAACAAACTGTGCTATCTGCGTGTGCAAACACGCAAATTTGAATATCTCGTCGCGCCAGAAGAGCTGTTTACTATAACCGTGTTGCAGTAAAAAGGAAAATATCGATGTTTTGCATTTGAATTTGTTGCTTGCTCTCCAGGTTTAATGCTGGGTTCAAGTATTTGTGTTCGGGTGTCCAGTGAATTAAATTGACAATTAAAAAATAAATATATTTATATGGAATTCTTGTTGTCTCTATGTTTTTATTGAGTTTATTATTTTTACAGTGTTCAGTTGAACTTGAACCCTGGATGAATCGGAATAAAATGCTTGAATCAACAATACGAATAAGATAGAATACGATATGCAGACCGAAAATCCTCTATAATACCCAAGTGACATGGACATTATTTATGGCATGGCTTCATTGGGCAGCGGCCAATAAATTTATCCATGAGAATGCGGCCATCTAATGCGATAATTCAAAAGATTTACTTCTGTCAACATGACCATTTTGTAGACAAACTTGGGGTTGAAATGGCCTTTGACCTTTTTCCTTTTGCCTTTTTCTTTTTTTTCTTTTTGCCATTTCCATCTTGCCTGCCGCAATGGATGCTGGCTGCTATTTTAATTTAAAATGGCAGAGCTCGTAACTCATTTTAACGGCGCACCCTCCACACTGAGTGAGGGTATATATACATATATTTGTGTGTGTGTGCGTATGTGTGTGTGTGTGTGCGTGAACTTGTCCTATTTTTACAGCCCTAGGCCCTTGCAGGGGTTGCTCGCTCGTTACAATAACTTATCTAGCCTTTTTTTACGCTGAGACTCGGCAACGCCATAATCACCACGACGCAGGGGCAGATGAAGACGCTCCTGGGGTGCGCTTTGTACTTATCCATTTTCCATTTCTAAACCCATTCCCATAGCTGTTCGTCCATTCTTTTTCTTCCATTGCTATCTCGAAGCAGTTGTCCATTGTCTTGGGCCGTTCTGTGGTACATACATGATAAAGAAATAAATAAAAATTTGTACAGAAATGTAACTGCAAAACTTCCTTGAATATAGCTCGGTTTCGTCTCGGTCTCTCCCTATCTATTGTGAACTCTGCCTTGGTGGCAAGGTCGAGCTCATCCTGCATGCCCGTCAAGAAGTGCGCACTTCATTTTATGCAGCGTAAAATTCAATTAATCCATGGACCATTGCTGACAACTTCATTTTAAGAACTCGTCTGTGGAACTCCTTTCCCCCCACAAAGGTTTCGGCGGGCATTCATAATTCATATAGAAATTAGAAACACTGGGAATTATATTCAAATAAAACGTTTTTCTCTGCCTAACTTGAATTTCAAGCTTGCAGGATAATGGCTCACACATATCCTTGACTCCTGAATCCCCCTCCGTCCCTCTAGCGTCCCCCGGGGCGTGTTCACGCCACATGCATTTAGTTTTCAGCACAGTGCGATCTGCTCTATGAATTTAATTAAGTTGTGCGACAAACCCAAAGTGCCACTGCAACATGGAATCCAACAACAAACAAACACGACTCATATATGTACATATATTAAGCGTGTCGTACTTATAAGGAAGGGCCGCAGATCTAGACCTCAGCTGCCATACAGCTATGTATGAGCAGACACTTTGAAATGTATTTATTTTACACAATTTCCCGTAGAAGGACAAACAATTTTAATATTTAAGCTAATTATATGTGGGCATAACATCCGTACTCTACTCCCTTTGTATGAATTCCTTTATATATGAACGATTCCATTATTTTGTATAATATATAAATTAATTAATAAACTTGTAAATAAATTTAAATAGAATAAAGCCATAGCTTACAAATTAACCTAATAGCTAGATTCTAGCTTTCCAGAAAATCTCATAATATATTCTGGTCCATACACTTACTATAAATAGAATTTCTCAAAAAAATATCGTAGCTGCTGCAATCACGAGCCTGCAAGAAATCAATTAAGTTAATTCAAACGTCGAAAATCCATAGAAATGGGATTTAAGTGAGTGCCACAAGAAGCAAATGCTAAATATAAAAAAGAACCCAGACAAGGTGAGCGACAGAGATGGAGTTGGAGACTGAGACAGAGCTAAATGAGCAGCAGAAATCCTCTCACTCAAATGAGCAGGCCAAGCCCATTTTGGCTGGCGCTGGCTCTGCCCCTGCTCCTACACTGAGGAAAACATGCTAGGAATCAAAATGATTAAAATTATATGAAAAGTATGAATACTTTCGAGCTTTGTCAAATTTGAACTCCTTTAGCAAATTTTTATTTATTCTCGCAACTGTTATTTTTTTCCATATAAATATATAATAACTTACTAACGCCACAGCTGAGCAATCCGTCCGGTCTTGCTCAGTGCACCCCTACCCAAACCCGTTCCGATGAAATGTTCAATTTTTTCCGACTCGTTCAACCACCAAACATTTTCAGTTGAGACTTGCAACGGCGCAGACGTCGTCCACGTTCAGCGGTGGAGGCCTTACAGACATTTTGTTGGTTTAGAAACAGTCGAACGGGCGGACGGACGGACGGACCGTCGGACTAACAAGCGAGGTGAAGCAGTAAAAACACTACACTAGCCTCAATAATAGGAACAACTCAATGAGTACAAAAATAGTTGAAACAAAATATTGAAAAATGATTACAAAAAAAATGTTAAAATGTCAAATTTATAAATAACAGCGAAAAGTGAATGACCCAACAGACATACATACAAAAGAGTGATGGCAAGCAGAAGAAACCTTCAACAGATTAAAAGCAATACAAATGAAACAAATTGGCGAAAAGACTGAAGGTGTCAATAAATAAAACACACGACTGGAATATACCCATTATGCTTTGCTTCCCTTCGAAAAGCATACACAATTTTCATCAGTTGCAGCTGTCATGCAATAGATGGCAGCAGCATGTTGCATGCGCCATCTATTGGTCATTATGCGCCTATGTCAATGTTGGTTTTGCAGTCACTGCTTGTGCGGTTTGACTGCCACTGTTACTCCTTTGGAGTTGTTCTGCAAACTAACAGAGATTTTTCTTTCCGCATATGTTAAACGGCATATATAAATCGCATACATGCATAAAAACCCTTCTTTCCGAAAATTTAATTGTTCTCTTTTTTTAGTCTTTGGACTTAAGAAATTTGGTACTTGTTAAATCATGTTTTTTAATGGCTGAGCAGTAATTAATATCATATGGGCAGAAATATCAAAATCAGTTAACAGAATGCCTCACTTTTTAGATCACATTTTAGTTATCTGTATCCCACATGCAGTTCATATTGTACCACAATTTTATTGGGCTGTTCTGTTACTGCCTTTTCTGGAGATTATGAGAAAGAGATTTCTTACCAAGCTATTCTTCAAACTTGACCTTTGCACTTGCTGCATTCAGTAGCACAAGAGCGCGAAGATAAACAAGTACTGGGGCTATAGTCGGGTGTGCTCGACTAGAAGAGCATTCGAACTTTTTTCTCTGCGGCAGTGCTTCTTCTTCCCACTGCGCCACATTATTCAAAATGTATAGTTCAATAGCTTCTGTATTTATAGCCATTATATATGTGTGAATAAATAAATGCAGGAGGCTTTAGATATCCAAAAAGTGAAATGTCCTTTAACTTTATATGATATAAGATAACCTATATATAATAAACCTTTTATAAAATCCCTAAAACTATCCGAAAATTATGAGAATAGAAGAAGATATCAAACAAAATTATTGATTTCTCATTTCCAAGTTTCAATAGATTCCGAGATCGACTCGTTACGGAAATGCTTTCTTTCGCCTTTTATACACATTTTCACAAAAGCATAAAAACATTATAAGTGGATAAAACGGCAAAGGTTACATTGCGACCAATTCGGATTTCCCCTATCCCAGCCATTATTTAAAACTGGTAGCGGTCAACTCAAAGTACTCCAAATATAATAAGGCAAAGTGGCTAAAATTTAAATTGATTTGATTGCCGATGAACTAATAAAATGAAGCACCGGTAAATCCAACAACTTGTTAAGGGAGGGCACTGGGTTCAGCATGTGGCCAATCAAAGATTGCAATTCAATTTCAACCGCTTGTCACAATATGCGGAATAGCGCATTAAACTGAAGAGCGGGTGATGCAACGCGGAGCATTTCATTCAAAATCGAGCAATCGAAACATCAAGATGTCAGTAAACGCGGTTAAGACAACAAGATTGCATCGGGCATCGTTAGGAGCCATTAAGTCGAAACGGGCCAACGTGTTGGCATGGCTCACGGGTCGAGGGCAGTTGGCGAGGAAAAACATGAAAATCATCTTTCAACGCGTTGCGCTTGCAGTTACAGTTTGATGGGGCCCAATCGCAATCAGGTGAAGTGGGCGATGCAGGGCCTGGGTGCTGGATGCACATGTGCTGAGCCTGATGCCTGGTGCCTTGCGCCTGCTGCTGGCAACCAACAAGTGCAAAAAGGCAAAACTGAATACGTTAACTAAAACTGAGACTGCGACTGAGACTGAGACCTCTCCATCCATTTGCGCTTCACTTGGCATATACTTGCAGTTCAGCTTTTCATTTTGCTGCCGGCGCTGTCCACAAAATGCGCTGCACGCGAGGAGCACGACATGGCGGTGCAGTCAGTTGAGCCTCAGCCAACTGGTTTTCTGGACAATGTGCCGCCCTTTCGCCCTGCCATATTTGTAGCGGCACCATGGCAAAATTAAATATAAATAATTAATATTAAATAATTGTCGGTAAGCTATTATTTTCTTAAATTAAACTTTAAGAAAGAACGCATTATTATATTAAAAGATTTTATCATCTCTCTATTTGTATTTGGTATGGCAAATATTCTTTTACAAAAGGTTTACGCAATTGGGATTATTGGAATAATATTTCTTTCGCTATTTTTACTAGTTAACAATTTGTAACTATATCCTATACATACAATTATATGAAAATTTAAAAAAAAAAAAAAAAAAGCAAAAAGGGCACACCAATATATTTAATGTGTATACTTTTATTATATTTTCGAACATTATATGTAGAACTTATTATATTTACTTGATTATTGGAATATATATTTTATGCAAATATCAAAATAATAGTTTGAATATTTATTCATTTGTTTTTGGTTAAAATAGATTGCTCAGAAAGGACGTTGTCTCTGAAATGCTTGTCTTTTACTCATTAGCGACACATACATTTCGAATAATTCATACTTCAACTGATAAGCTGTCCTCCCAACTACTTATATAAATATATATAAAAAATAAAACCTTTTGAAGTTTTAATTAAATGGTAAGTCTTCGTAAAAAATAATTTTATACTATGACTAACCAAATTCAATAAATTTAAAAACTTTGTTGTAGCATATAGAATGCATAAGAACCTTAGCTCTAGCGTATGGAACACATGATATTATGCGGAAAATCTTTGAGGATAGAGGCTTGTCTTCTTTGTCGTGAAAGATAGTTCTCTATTTAGGATTGCAGCTTGGTTGAGATTTTTAAAGTGAATATATATCAATTACCTTTATCAGCTGCTTTTCTGAGCATTTGGTCATCTATTTGCTACCATTGTTAACTCAATCTGACGCCTTCGCTTAGTGCCTTCATTTTGGAGTAGCTTCAACCAGAACTAGCACCCGCAGACCAAGTAGCTCGGACCATCAAAGCTGCATCGATATAGTTTCTAGTGGTTCCCGCTTGCAGTTCAGATAAGTGTCATCTCACTCTATCCCTCTGCCTCTTTCTCCTTGGCATTGTGTTTGTCTCAGTTTGTGTGTCAGCTCCGTGTCTCAGTTCGTTTTGCTTTGGTTCCGTAAATTACACTTTTGATTTTTAGTGGCCGTAAAATAATCGTAAATGTCGTGGTTATTGCGACCGAAAGTGCCCATTTTGAGTGCTGCTGCTGATTCTCAGCTGGCATTAACTGATATTCTCGTTTCGCTCAGTGCAGCGATGTCCGACTGGGACCCGGGTGCTGGAACTGGGAACAAGACCGAGACGGGCACTGGCACTGGGACTGGGACGTGCTGCCACTGCACAAGCAGCTTGTAGCCACTGCACCCACTGAGCTGCCTTCCGCTAAGCAAGTCCCCCCTACCCCACACCCTCTTGGAGCTCCATCAAGCTTGTTGCTCCCAAGCTGCGTTGCACTTGTTGTTTTTAATAAGTTTCTGGTTGTTGTTTGTCCCGAACTGTTGTTGCCTTTCTTCTTGGCTGAGCTGGACTCCTTTGATGTTTCGATTAAGTTCGGAGTTCGCGTTGTCGAACTGGTTGGTCGGGTCTGCCTCCTGACAGCCAACCAGGCAACCCGCCATCCTTAGTACCTCAGCTCCTCGCAGCCGTTTGGCTTTAGTTTATGGCCATTTCGTTTGCACTGTCTTTGCAGCAGTTGCCGCACTCGAATTGCCTCTCTGTTGTTGCTCGTTGAGTTGATTTTCTTTAGCATTTCACCCATTTACCTTTATACTTTTGGTTTTCGACTTGTGCAAAACATTTTCTCACATAGCCAGCTCTCTCTTAGCTGCTGCCACAGTTCATTCTCCTGCTCCTGCTGCGGCTGCTGCTGATTTGGCTCTGACGCAACTGGTTGCCGATTGCCCATTGCCAAGTTTCCATGTTGCCAGTTGCTGTGGCCCGTTCGCGTACTCACAAATTTCGAATTTGATTTTATTGTTATGATCTCAATTGTTTTCGCAATGTAAACACTGAAGATTTCCAGCATAGAGACGCCATTGCCGATGAGAACATGTTGACTTGCCTACTTCATAATTGAAAGAAATCTTTCAATAAGAACTGTTAAATTAAAAAATGAAATAATTAAGTAAAATATATATTTACATTTGTACAACACAGTAGGATAGATATAAACGCATTGTAGTTGGCACAAGAAAAGAAATATTCAAATTACTATTATTTAGATATTTATTTCATTCCCCATTTCTTCGCTCCTTTTTAATTGCTGGGAGATGGCTTCTCAGGCCGTCGCTCACACATCTATGCCATTCAGGCTTCCAAAGCATACTTATATTATTATTATATTGTGTTGTTGTTGATGTTCTTCATATAAAATAAACTTTGTAATTCTTATAGAATAATTTCTTACTTCAAGCAACAGCTACGAATCCGGGTAGGGACTCATGTTTTCTTCTGTATTGTCTCATAATTATTTTGTCTTGTTTTAGATTACTTGCCGGATTTTGGCGACTTGTTGACTTTTTACAATATCCATTATCCGACACTAGCCTAATTACCATTTTCTCCTAAGTCACATCAGAACGCCTAATTTCTCGAAGACAACTATAAACAAAGCCTGTTAGGGCTGATCATAATGCCAAGTTGGGCTGCTAAACGTTCTTAAGAACAGGCCCTCCCAGAGTTTTGAAGGCCGCGTTCCCAAAGAAAGAATAACAAAACGATCGGCGTTAAAATGTCCCGACCAAAAACCAAACTAATTCATAAATCATAAAAATGTGTCATAAAAAATGAAAACAAAATGGAAACAAGCAGAACTGCAGACAACACTAGATACAGAATGAAGCTGCCTTTCAACATGTCCTCGAAGTTGCGAGCATAAAAAATGCTCAAGGCGAAAGACTTTTTAGCTGACCTTAGAGCGCAGAGAGATTTGTTTTGACTCCCGGCTGAGGCTTGTTATCTGGCAGTTGCCCAGCCATATCTCTACTGGTACTGGCATAAAGGACACACGCACACACACATTCGGCTAGGCGTACATCACATTGTCCTCGGCGGCCGTTCAATTATTGCCGGCGTGGTAATAAATCATAAAAATATGTTTCACTAGCCTAAAATGCGACGGTTTCATGCCGATCGCCTTGTCTGGTCCTCGCTCGTTACACGGTGGAATTGTAAATGCCTGTAAAATTGCCGAATTGCCTTTTTACCCACCAGCAGCCCCGTAGCCGGTGCTGTTCCTCTGTAGGTAACGCGCAACTGTGATTGGAATTGGGATGCGGCTTGGCTCTGCCACGGGGCTGCTGTTCCTGTTTCTGGTGCTGCGGTGATCGCGCCCTCGAGCATCTGATAACAAAACCACTGGCAAATGACAAACAAAAGGCCAACAACTTTCTCTTTTGCCTTATATGATTTGGGCCGCATTGACGCTCATGTTGTGTCTCCTACTCTGACAGTTTTGCATTGCCAAATCTGAAAGATTTTGATTTATTTTTCAAAATACAAACCGAATAAAGAATTATTTGTGTTTGTATTTGTGTGGCTGTCGGCAAGAGGCGCCTGAATTTGCTTGCGATTGTTTTGTTGCGTGTAAAACTGTTAAAAGGTGAATATTTAAAGAGCATACTTCACTTTACAAATTACTAATAGGAAAAATAATAAAAATGTTGCATTTATTTGAGTTTTATAGAGAAAACAAATGGTTAGCAAATATTTTTTAGTTATTTAATTTACATTGTCATAATAAAAAATAGATTTCTTTAATTAAACATCTGATTTGAGCCTTTTCTAATTACTAACAAAAATGATATTTGCTTAAATTTAATAAGGCGGCTATTCAAATTTTAAAGTATTTAATTTAAGATTATTTTAAATAAAAATAAATAAAATAAAATAAATTTAAAAAAAACCAAACTTACAAAATAAACTGTTTAGTTACTCGTTTAGAGGGAAGAATGATTAGAGTGCATATTTTATCTTTTTACTTATTATATTTAATCTTTTAAATATAATTTAAATTATTTATTATTCTAGCATTTCCACCGAGCATTGAGCTGGGCATTAATTGAAATTCTCAAGCTGCACATCGTTCGTCAGAGGCAAATGCGCATCGCATTTATTGCTCTCATTGGATGGCGATGACTTCATTGCCATAGTATATACGCGCGTATGGGCATATACTACTTAGTATATTTGCCAGGCCTGTACTTGTGCATGTGGCTGCTACTCTTTCTCCATTTCGAAGCCAACATGATATACTACAAGCAGATGATTTAATGTGACCGCATATTGTGCAGGCACTTAAGAACCCGACCTCGAAACGGGTCCAAGTGCAGGCGTTCCACATATGGTTCAATTCAAGCATCCGAGCTCAAAGAGCTGCCATCTTGAAAACTGAACCGAGACGAGCGAAGAGCGAGCGTTGAATTATTATATATTTAAAAATATTCGTAGAATGCAAGAACTATGCAGTTGCATAACAAATGTATTTTGAACATTTTTTATTTGTAAATAACCAATAGAATCTTAAAGAATTAATGTATTATAGCCTGTCAGCTGAAGAGATTACTAACGTATTTGTTTTGTATTTTATTACAGAGCAATAGATGCTGTTCCCATGCTGTAAATCAGAGCGGCAACGAGCTGTGGCATAGCAGGCATAGCTCATCAAGATGCTGACCAAATCCGCAGTCAAAACAAATCGTTAAAATGCCATAAAAAGCCCATATGCAGCCGACATGGGCAGCAGGAGAAGCAAATGCATTCGAATAAAATTTTACCACCGTTTCCTCAAACATCATCAACATCAAACTAACGGCGGCAACATCCGAGCCACCTCATAAAAGTAACGATGTCTATGAAAAAAAGTATCTGATGGATACAAGCAGTCGCATTCGCTGTCGCAGTCGCAATCGCAGCCTCCGCTGAGATGAGAGTTTGAGGGGTATCAAAATAATTATGGCATACGTCACGGAACTTGGGTTTTATGTCTTTTATATTGATTGTCATCATGTCACACTAACAGATCGTAAAAAAGTCGTAAAACCCATAGCCCGGGCCAAACAACTCACTCGACTGCAAGAGCAAATGAACGCACGACCCGCAACTGCACTCAAATACTAGGATCAGATTCTGGCTCAGGCTCGGGCACAGCCTCTGCTCGCAGGACACTCCAACCCCCGTACAGGATGCTGAAGGATCGCTGGCCGCTTTGAGTGATTGTTGAGCTGAACGCCTGGCGACGAGTGGCGAGCGGATTCGGGAGCGCGTTTGCTTAAGTGGCGTCAAGTCGTAAAAAGAACATAAAATTTGGGCCAGGCGCTGGTATTAACCGCAATTTGTTTATATAGTTGTTAAAATGCCATTTTGGCTTGTTCTATTCTGCTTGGCATTTAATTGTTGGCTGCCGGTATTTCTTTTTACGACCACACAAAGAGGGCAAACCTAATAAAATTTATTTTTACGACAATTTAAATGGTTTCATTTCGAATATGCTGAGAGTACGACCGGGCAATGGGTGACACAACAACAGGTTGCTGCCGAGGCGTTTTTTTTTATCAATTCAGAGATTATAAAATTTATCTTATGCTTCAAGTAATCCGTTAATCCATAGAATATTTTAAATGAGTTATGGAAAGTACGCAAAACGGATTATTTTTGAGCATAAAAATGTATAAAATATATAGTAATCAATTTTGGCTTTCAAATTTAAATCATAATTTACTTTGTTAGTTTGCTACAATACAAAAGTTTGAAATGATTTAGCTCAGTTAATTAATTAATTGTAAATAATTATTTATACATTGTTTAAATGAAATAAATATTCTGAAATGCACTATAAATATTTAAAACTAATTAAAATAATATTTCAAATATTTAACACATGTATAAATTTGATTGTTAAACTCAACTCGACGCCGCTTAAAATGCAAACACAATTTATCACCTCACCTTTGACGCTAACACAATAATGGCAAACAATATTTTGGTCTGCTCGAAAACCCGCGCAGATGATGACTTAATCCCACAAAACCACAAAGTGGCTCAACAGTACCGACGCAGCCGCAAACGGCTCATTATGAGGTCAAGAATCAATTGCAGCTTGAGTCCAAACACCAAACAGAGAGGTGAAACGAAACTAGTCGCCTTCTTATGCAAAATGGTTATGGCCAGACAAAAGAGCCGCCGCTGGCTGAATGGGCACAGGGAGAGGGTGAGGCTGAGGCAGCGGAAGCGGGAGAACAACAGTCGGACATTGAATGAAGACATTCGTTACAGTTAGACTTACCTACATAATCCTGCCCTGCGAATGAACCCTCGGACTCGTTCGTCAAGCAATTGGCAGCATTTGCATTCGACCCTGAGTGCCTGTTCGGGCGCCTGCTCATCAAATCCAGCCAAATGGCGGTGAGTCCTTTAGCCCGGCTAATTGAGCATTTTTCGTTAACTGCGATAGCTCACGGTTTTGCCTGCTTGTTAGCCAGCTGGTTAGCCGTGTCCGCCCACCTGGTTACCTGGCATTGGCTTGGTTATAGCCGCCGCCATGAGCTGGCGAGTGGGAAGTAGCGCAATCTGAAATCCTTTTTCACTTTCCATGGCCGGCGCTTGCGAAAACGTGCAAAGTGGGTGTAAACGGATCGCGATGATGATTGTTTATTGTAATTTTTATGACTGCTTTGCACACAAGCACGCCAAGGCGCCGATGATGATGACTGCAGCCCAGTCAGCCTAGACCCCGCCTGCGCCCCCGATGTACAAACAAGGGTTGGCCCATTGGCCCAAAGGGTAATTTCCCGTCTCAGCACTTACACTTCCAGCTGTCGTTGCAAGCACTTGAAAACTTTCTAATTAAGACATTTCAATGATAGCCGAGCTGTGAGAATTGATTCATCAATCCAGCTTAACTTTATCTGCTAATGCTGGTAATTTTTAGTCAATAAAGGCTTTTATATCTAGAATGTGTTTGGCTAAAGAATGGCAAAGTTATAAGAAAGTTATGAGAGAATTTCGACAAGGTGAAAGGGTTGAGCTTAGATTCATTTCAATTTGTATTTAAATCGCTATGGCCTAAGATAGTGTGTGAATTAATTATGCTTAGCGATAAATAAACTTATTTATGTTGACAAAGATGGTTTTATTATAGGAAATAGTCATAGAAGACCGAAGGTTTTACCCAGCAATTTCATTAAATAAACAAAGTTTGACAACATAATTGTCTTATTGACTTGTAGATCTCATCTATTTATCTTCTTAGTATTTATAGGTAGATTATAGTCATTTAGCAGCCGGACTGTTGATTTTTCTTGTCCATTTATAGATCAAACTCCCAGTATTCCAACAGACTTAAATCAAAATTGAAGTTTGTGCTAATAAGCTAGTTCGAAAAAGATTCTGCTAATTACAGGGATTTTCTTTAATCAAAGAGTTCTTATACTTCTTGTTTGGCTTATTCGGGCTTAATTAATTTGCCATAGTTAATAGCTTTGACAGTCATCTATCAATCCAACTGGCAATCATTTTTTAAGTGCAGCAACTGAGTTGCCACTGAGTCCAACATGCAGCAATTAGCTGGCTCGGATTGGCGACTGGTACTGGCACTGTTGGTTCTTGGAGCTATGGTTCTGGTTTTCTTTATGGCCACGATGGCGATGATGGAGCGAGCAGCTCACCGGCGCAGCAGTTGAAAGCATAAATTAAGGCAGCGTTTATGAAATGGCGCTGGGGGCGTTTATGATGCATTTTTAATTGACGTTCATTTGAAGAAACGCGAAGAACGCTTCAATTCAATTACGCGCTGCCAGCTGCAACCCACACTCTGCCGCCCGCTTAGCCAGTCGAAGTTGCAGCTAGCTTGTGCTGTGACTCGAACTCCAGTCACAACTGCAACTGCAACTGGAACTGCGAGTCCGACTGCGGGCCATAAAAGGCGCTCACAACGGTTTTGGGCCAAATTGCCACTTTGTGTGCAAATTTGAAATGTGGAAATACTGGGCATAACCATGAAAATAGCGCTGAACAATTGTTGGGCCAAACTCGAGACTCGTATCGCTTGCATGCAATCTCTGGCAAATATTTTAAACGATGCAGCTCGTCAAGAAATCAGCGAGGCAGCCGCAGCTGGGGGCAAGCAAGCGCGTGGCAGTTACCTTGCGGGTAACTGGGGACTGTACGACTTGGCTGCCTGTTGGGCTTGCTCCTGCTTGGACACGCCCCGTTTCGCCGCACGCCCACGCTGATTCATGCAGGTTGGCAATTACATTGCCCCAACGTTGGTGGCAAACGGGCTTCTAACTCTCCGACTCCTAGCTCCTAACGAATGCACGCCCAATTGTTGCACATCCATTGACAGTCGATCGCTCGGCAGTCGGTGGCACGTCAACTTATTCATTAATTCATCAAATTGTACAGTGCCCCGTAAGCCCCTCCATCATGGCCGTTCCGTGCCATACCCCACACGATTTATTTGCGATGCAGAGTCGCATTCGCCGTTGAATCGTTGATAGTCTTAATTGGCTTCGTTTCTTCGTTTCGATTGCATAAAATAATCGTTAGAAAACGTGTTTTGCTTAATTGGAAAATTTGTATGTCTTGCCCGTCTCCACTCCGTCTCCGTCTCCAGTCGCGTCCCTGTCCTGTTCCACGTCTACGGCTTGGTCTTCCTCTTGGACGACTTGCCGGGCATGCCGGCCCCTCCGTTTATTGATTTTCCACTGTTTAATGAAGAAAAATGCCTGTGCCCAGTTCGCAAACAGCTACATTTAACTAACAGCACCTTCAGAATGCTAAATTTCTATCTGTGCATAAGTATACATATATATTTATTTTCTTTTTTTTTTGCAAACTACAAGCAACACTTGAGAAAATATTCACAAACATTTGTATTATTTATTCACATTAAAGTAGGTTGACAATGTTTTATTCATAAAATGCTAAAATGTCTTATATGCTTTATATATAGATTAAATAAATTTATATTCACGTTTATAAATTGGAAAATGTTTTTAGGCTTGGCTTGTTCTTAAATGAATAAGAGGTGAGCTGCAGAGTATATTGGAGTAGAGGAGAAGCTCGAAAAATAATGAGAAATTCGTTTAGAAAAAGAAATTCAACCAACGTATAACATCCAACAGGTAGGTTGAGATAAGAATATAACTTTATTAGCCTACTTTACAAAATATTCAACTATATTATCTATTGCGATGGGAAGCAATTAACAATAAAATATAAAATTATAATATAATAAATAAAATTATTATTTTTATTTTTATTAGCATGAGACTTTGAAACTGTTGAAGAACTACCGCATTTACAGAACAGGACCAAGGACTCCGGTTTCCGGCATAAAATAATTTAACAGCATATGAATTTTAAGATATTCGGAATATATTATTATTTAAATAAAGCTTACTTTATTTAATATTTAAGAAGCTTAAGTTTAAACATAATAATTTACTCTAATTTTAAATACGCGTTTCCCATTTGTTATTTTAGTATTCTATGAGCTCAAAAGTCGACAAATAGTTTAAAGGAGATATGATAATGTTCAACTTTAGCCACATCCACTATTTTGGTAAATTTTGTAGGGGCAGTGGAAAAGGGGCTTTGGTATTCACACACAAATCGGCGTTAAGTTTAAATCCGCAAATATTTATAATTCCGTATTAAATTCATAATGTAGAATGTTTAATGCATAAATACATAATAAAATTTTATGACTTTTACCTTATCTTGTCACACAAAAGCAACAACAACAGCAACAAATACAACAATAGCTACAACAATAAAAACAAAAACAATAATAAACTTTCATTTAAAAATGAAAGAGGAAATTTTTCGCCTACCTTTTGTGGGCCGCTGCATTTTACGAGTATTTTATTGTGCTGCCTGCAACAACACACACACAACGTGGCACGTTGCAAGTGGCCAGCAGTAGGCAATGCACGTGCAAATCGCAGGCGCCACATGCGGCTGCACCAGCTCCAATCCGGCGACGTCGATGTGGCGTCCAATTCCTGCGCCAATCGAGCGCCAAACAATTTGTCATTTTTTTTGCGGCGGGCGCAGGGCTTGCGGACCGTGCGGGTTGCAGCGATGATCAATGCTTTGAATTATGATGAGGATTTATGCTTGACACTGTCGCACTGTGGCAGATAGCGCCGGACAGCTGAACAGTTGGACAAATGGCTGAATGGATGAATGGACAAACATTTACAGCACTGGCTATGGAACTGCTGGCTGCGGCATTGGCGCTAGTTTTATGGCCGCCACTTCCCTTCGTCCGCATCAATCGAAGCCAGATGGAGACGAGTTGGTGGAGAGCTCCCGCCTCTCCGATACGGCTGCCCGCTGCTCTATGATTTATTAAGTGTTAATAAAGAACTTAAATCCGTTGGCTTGCATTTCGTATCCATTTCGTATTCCCCGTATACATTCTCATTCACTCTCTGTTGTGCCCTGTTTTGTGGCACCGGTTACATTCGCTGCCATTAAAGGGCCTCGCTCAGGATTTCCTTATCAATGCATTCCATATTCGCCGCGGCGCTGATTTCATTTTTGCTCCCAGCAATTTCACAATAAAATTTTCGCCCGCCTGCAAATTAAAATTGCAATGTAATTGGTTAATCCATGCGTACATTATGCTCCCGTTTCCACAGTCCATGCGAATCTGCAGAGGAAGTGCGCACAAGTTGCATTGTTTTTTGCCTGGATTTTATTTCGAACATTTTTTTTTCAACTCGAATATACTGGGGGTATACTTTACACGATGGGTTTCATTGAATTAAAGATAGAACTAGCCAACTAAACCAAACTAAACGAATAAATATCTTTTAAAAAGATGCATGTTATTAGTAAAAGTCTTAATACTATTGGGTAATATAGCTAAACTATAAAGCCTTTTTTTCAAGCAAAGCTCTCTTTTTGCACTTTGGCGATTCTTCAGATACTATTCCCAAGCTAGATTTGCATACAAAGCGAATGCATTACCATATGCGCCCCAATGCCTGTCCACAGTAGCCGCGTACGAAATTTACGAGTGTTACCGCTCAGATACAAAGCGAGATAAAGCTATATACAGATATATATACATACACATAGGGGGTAAAAGAGGGAGATAGACCATGTCCCATGTGAGAATTGTGATCAATTTAGCCGACCACCTTCCAGATGCAACTGCAGCTGGGCGCCGCACCTGATGATGAATGGCATTTTAATGCAGGAGCTCATTTCGCGCTCGGTCTAAGTACATTGCTCGCGGGGCATTTAGACAGCTTATTTAATTACCACACCCACCCACAGTTTAATTGGCCCATAATCGCTCAAAACGAGCGCCGGCGCTGATTGCCAAGCATTCGATACATCGAGACGGCCATTTCGTCTAACTCATAGACATAGACAACGCACTTGTCTCGACATCCGCATATCTGTATCGCGTATCTGAATCTCATACTGTATCTAAATGTATCTGCATCTGTGTCTGGCCGATTGGGTGGGGTTGGGCTAGTTGTGCTGTGCGTGCCACTTACGCAGCTAATAAAGCAGCAATTTGGCAGCTGACGCCGCTGCCGACGCAAACAAAACATCAAAAGACGAGTAGCCCGGCTGCCCACCACCCTGCACTGCCCAACCTAACATCAAACGCCAAATGTGCGGAGGTTTATTTACAAAAAAAAAAAAGAGAAAAAAATTAAATAAATAAAATAAAAGCTTGTTGCAAGTACACAACACTCGATCGCTGGATCGCTTCGCCCTTGTTTATGTGAGCGTCTGTCTATAAAGAGATTCGGAATTTCGGCTGCTGGCGCTTCAGCATGCCCACTCGGCACCTGTTGGATGTTTTGAAGGGCGCTGTTATCGCCGCTGCCCAGATTTATGCCAACAATCGTTCAGTTTTCAAAGTCAATACTTTTACCGTTTCAATTGGCTTTGAAGCGACCGCCGTCGACATTTTTATGAGCCGACAATTGGGCGAATTTGATGCATTGCCATTGAAATGGGCTCTAAACTCACCACAAGTGGACTCCTGCTGGCTTCCAATTAATTACCTTTAGTTTAAAAAAGATAAAAAGCAAATATATATGCAAAATAATAAATACAAATCTTGCTCTAAAAATAAGGAGATAAGTCGATACCTGATCCGAAGTTAACATGTATTCTGATTTGTATATAAATAAAAAAATATATATAAATATACAGGTAAATGTGTATGTCAGTAAATGCTTATGACATGAGTATGATTATTTATAGGAGGGAGAAAGACTTTTAAATATATATATATATATACATATAGAGAGAGATGTTAGAGAGAGGAAAATATAGCATACAAGATTGTATATTATATGGTGACTTTAAGCCGAAATAAAATTTCAAAACTTAATTTCTTAAAATGTGCTATATCAATCACAATTAAAGCACGACAGCCTGAAGGCTTTACTTGAATTCATGGAAATCGCTTAGTAGGGCAATATTAAATTGCTAACAAGAAATTTGTATACAAGACTTTTCAACTTATTTTCCATATTTCCGGGTGAAATTTACACTTACAACTCACAAGTTGTAAGTTTACGGTTCAATCAGTCAGTCAGTCTATCAATCCTAAGAAAACTTTTGAGCTTGCGGTTCAATCAATCAGTCAGTAAGTCAGTCAAACAGTCAATCAGTCAAGACGAAAAGTCGTATATAGTTTTTATTTTATTTTATTCAACTTCCATCCCAGCTAACCGATTTTAAGCCCATCAATTGAATTCTTTATTTTGATGAACTTATAAGACAATCATGACCCGATAATACTTACATAGCCAATTGTGCAACCAACTGGCGCCCGAGCAGGGACCCAGCAGAACAACAACAACATCCTCTGAACTGGAGCTCACACTGGGAACAGCAGTCGCATCCCGACAGCAGTCAGAAAAGCAACAACAGCAGCAGCGACAACAACAACAACAACAACTAAGCCAGCAGCAGCCACATAACGTACCAAGTTTGAATATACTCGTAAGATTCCTGAGTATATTAGGTAGCAAAATTTTTACGAGCTCATTATGGCTCATTTCGGCGATTGTTGTGATCCTTTTATGCGCTTTCGAATGGCTTCAAATGGTTATGAGGCTATTCTCTGTCTGTCCTGCTCGACCGCGTTTTGCACTCATCCTGTAGCTACAGCAACTGCTGCCGCTGCTGCTGCTGCTGCTACTGCCAGGACGACTGACGATATTTAGTTTGCAGTTGCGACTGCGATTTTTACTTTTGGCTGCCGTTCTTTACGTTTCGTTTCGTTTCGTTTGGTTTGGTTTGTTTTGGGTTTTTGTACTTTTTGCTTGGCTTTCCGCTCATGTTACTTGGCAGTTTGTTGTCGGTCCTCGCACATTTGGGAAAATGTCGCCGTCTGTCTGTGCCCCCGTGTGTCTGTGTGTGTGGACATCCGTGCGCTGTGTGCAAGTTTTTGTATCTTTTCGCATGTTGTTGATTTTAGAGACTTGGCAACGAATGCCAGCGCCTGCTGCAGGGGCGGCGGCGGTACAAAAGTAAATTTCTTCTTATAATAAGTTTATTTTGCAAACACTTGTGGCAAGCAACTTTGTTTGTTCGCTCGTCGGTTTTGGCCTCTAATCTACGAGCCGTTTGTGCGAATGTGCAAACTTTGACAAATATTTGCAAAAGTTTCGCAACCGAACGCCACGATCTCTTTGCATTATGCATATGAATTTATTACCATCAATTTGGAGACGCATTTATAACGCATCCCAGATATTGATATATAGATACATTTTAATGCCGAATACTTAAGACAGAAGGGCATTAACATATTGACGTCAAGCGATATTTAGCAAAATGTATCAATATTTTATTAATAACATATTGAAATTCTAGACGTATCGATGCTAGCCGTAAAATGCATCGAAATTATTGTATTGAGATTTTTATTGTCTGTTAAGCGTTTCGAAAAAGCTATCGCAAAGCAAATAATAAATAATAATAAAGCAATGAAAAAATTATTTTTTAGTTATCTTGCTGCAAATGCCTAATAAATAATTCTTAAGTGTTAGCCGTAACTATGCATTTCAAAATGGAGAATAAAATCAGAATAGAAATCAAATAGCAAATAAGTAAGTCGAATTACGTTTTCCTACGAATCATGTTAATCTGTCCACACACTCTTTTGCCAAGGATGATATAATAATAATTAACTAAGCTAAAGGAAGCACCAAAATTAACTTGCCTGAACGTTACAGTTAGTATCTCTCGACTGCGTGATGTATCTCAACTAACTATTGCTTGATGAATTTAATAGTCGTCTTTGATTTATGCTAAAATTAATATATCAAAGTTGTAGTAGCTTTTATGTACATTATGTCTAGCAGTAAATCAAATCAAAAATCAGTAGTAGCAACGTTAAATTAGTTATAGAATTTGCAATGAAAAATAGCAATAAGAGAAAGTTGTAAAAGTGAAGAAATGGAAAATTGATTGATTCTAACTATGATAATACAGATTTTTCTTTTGCTTGCGAAGTGGGCTAAGTGTCGGCGCACTAAGCGGGAAGTTAAGACATCGTTCTCTTGTGAAGAAAATGTTATTTTATTTTAATTATTAATTTAAAACAAATGTGTTTCTCTCAATTATATTTATTAATAATTTAAAAAAAAATTTATTCTCTTGTACAATTTAGATTGGCCAATTTAAGTGGAGGAAAAGGAAAGGGAAGTTTCTGAGCCAGTCTTTATTTAGTTAGTTGATTGGGTGTATGGAACTCCTGGAAAATTGACAATGATGTATTAATCAGAATTTATTTATCTACTTATTTATTTTGATAAATAGAGTTAACATCTGTTTGAAGTAGGCACGAAATACACAAACAATATAATTTAATTCATTTCAACTTAATAACGTCGTATAATATCTTCTAGTTTGATTATAAAGCTTGCGTAAGAGTGATTTAATTAAAAGAACTCAACATAGAAAAATATTTGGATTTGATAACCTCATCAATGCAGAGAAGAAATCTTTTTTGTTTTTGAAATGCTTTAGTTTATATATTTATATTTTACAAATACAAGTGTTTGTTGAAATGGAATTCAAAATGTATAAAATGTAGGAAAATAACTTATAACTAAAACCTAAGTTTTTTAAAATTAGTATGGGTAATTTTACGTTTTTAAATATTTATATAGTATAAATATGTAGAACTTTTAATATGCTTTTGTTTATAAACAAAATAACCAACTTTAACAAAATATTCAACTATTTTAAGACGTCGCACTAAATGCAGCGGACAAATTCATAGCATGGCGAGCAAAGCATTGTATTTGTATCTGAATGTGAATTTGTATCTGCAGCGCGTTGCGTGCAACTGGCGACTGACAACTGGCAACTGGCGAGCGTAGAGCGCCTGTCGAATTGAGTGCAAAAGTGGCGAAAATCGTTTGAGTGAAAAAGTACGCCGCCTGGCCTATAAGAAAAATCAGCCCTCCTCCATGATGAATTTCCACAGACAGAGCGAGTTTTCCACACGCGCATATGATGAATTCTCCGCTCAGCGCTCAAACATGTTCGAATGAACGTGCTCGAACATGCCAAATGAACGCATCGAGCAGCCACTGGCAACTGGATTCACTGGTGAGAGTGAGCGAGCCGTTGGTTTGAGTAGCTCTTATCACTTGCTGAGCGCAGCGAGTATGGCTCATTCCGTTTCAGTTTCGCTCATTCATTCGGTTGTTCGGTGTTTCGCCTCTCTGTTTTGGCTTCTTCTTCTTCTTCTGCTGCTGCCGTTGCTGCTGCCGCCGCCGCTGCTGTTGCTGCTGCTGCGTATCGGGGGAGCTCTACAGGCAAAACGCTGCCGTCGCTGACGTTCGCTGCTTGTGGCCCGTTGCCATTCAGTTGAGTTTAGTTGAGTCTCAGTCAAAACACAACCAACTGCGATTTGGTGGCACATTCGTTCGATGGCAACGGTTTGGATAACAGGCGCGCGCTTTGTTTTATTATCCCACATTATCAGCGGCATTATTGTTATTGGCATTGTACGCTCAATTTTAATGTTGTATGGCCCGCGCGCTCTGAAATCGCAGTCGCCTTCGTATCTGTAGTCCAGTGGCCAGTGAATATCTGAATTTGAATTTGAATTTCAATTTGAATCTCAATTTCGAAGCGTATCAGAAGCGTCAGTTGAACGTGAAGCGCGCGCTCGTCGCCGTCGTCGGTCGTTTCGGTCAGCGCTAATAACAATAATAATTATAATAACAATAACAACAATAATAATAGTAATAATAATAATAATAATAATAATAATAATAGTTTGTAATAACAATAATGATAATGCTATGAATGTTAAACGAGTCATTGAATTCAAAATGATTCAATAGGCGCCACTTCGAATACTTCAAATCAATATTTACTCATTTACACCCAACAAATATTATATATATGGTGCCCAGTGTCAAGTTAATTAAACACGCGTGCAATTGGAAAAACGAAACCAAAATCAAGTATACGAAACTTTAATGCAACACAATTAATTTAAACATACAAATATTTTATAGAATTTTATAACTGATGCGAGCCGGCAAAAGTGCAATACAAATTAAAAAAAAATAATAATAATTTCAAAAATTCCAAATTATTTGGAAAACTATTGTAAAACTTAAATACATTGCAAAAATAATAAAAATCAAAAAAGAAAACTTGAAACCAAAATATATTAATAAATTAAAAATAATATTAACTTATTTAAATACTATTGCTTAGGCAATGCCCATTGTGCAATTGAGCGCAATTGAGTGCTAAATTTTGTATACGAGTGCCGTGTGCCGCGTGCAGTTACTTTTAGTAGCTGCTGTAGCTGCCAGTTAACCGCCAAAATTCTCACCGCCAACAACAGCCACAACATGAACTCCTACTTTGAGCAGGCCTCCGGCTTCTATGGCCATCCGCACCAAGCGACGGGCATGACAATGGGCACGGGTGGCCATCACGATCAGACAACGGCCAGCGCTGCGGCGGCCGCCTACAGAGGCTTCCCGCTATCGCTGGGCATGTCTCCCTACGCCAACCATCATCTGCAGCGCACCACACAGGACTCGCCGTACGATGCGAGCATCACGGCTGCCTGCAACAAGATCTACGGGGATGCAGGCAGTGCCTACAAACAGGATTGCCTTAACATCAAGGCGGACGCTGTCAACGGCTACAAGGACATTTGGAACACGGGTGGTGCCAATGGCGGGGGCGGAGGTGGCGGTGGCGGCGGTGCCACCGCTGGGAACACCTCAAATGGCTCTAATGCGCCCAACGCTGCAAATGGACAGAATAATGCGGGCGGTGGCATGCCCGTTCGCCCATCCGCCTGCACGCCCGACTCTCGCGTCGGCGGCTACTTGGACACATCGGGCGGCAGCCCCGTTAGCCATCGCGGCGGCGGCAGCGCTGGCGGCGGCAATGGCACCGCCGGCGGCGTACCACAGAATACAGCCAGCGGCGTGGGCGGCGGTGTGGGCGCGGGCACAGCCTGGAATGCCAATTGCACCATCTCGGGCGCTGCGGCGGCCCAAACAGCGGCCGCCAGCAGTTTACACCAGGCCAGCAATCACACCTTCTACCCCTGGATGGCAATCGCAGGTGAGTCCACAGCAGATCCAAGCAAAAGTGAGTGTCCAGCGCAGTCTCAACTCTCTACTTGATCCATAAACATATATTAAGCTTCAGTTCGATTCAGTTTTGCTTCATTTTTATTAGCCAAGCTAACTGCTTTTTAGTTGTTCTTGTTGTTGCAACCACAGATGTGTTGTCATGTGTGTTTTCATAGTTGTTTACCTGGTCAAGTGATGATCCATTAGACACCCACTTGCCAAACGAATAATAATAACAACAATATTCTGACTAATATAAGTAAATTGTTGACACTGTCTGGCCGTTATAGAAAAACAGTTTAAATAAACTGTATAGACTTCATTTAGCTTAAACAGATTTCCAAGCTATATAATTATACATAGAAATATTTTGAAAAACGTTTGTAGCTTAAAAATGAACAAAAAAAATTGTTATTTTGAAAAAGTTATATTTTAATTGAAAATTATTGGCAATTTTCCGATCGAATATATTTTTTTTTTTTTTTTTGTTAATATCGGGACTCAACAAATAGATAATGAAAGTACATAAATAAAAATTATGTATAAATTTTCTTTTTTAATATTTTTGAATAAAATATTTCTGTTTATTATATATTTTCTAATATAATAATATATTAAAAATATATATCGTTTTTTGAGCAATTTAAAAGTTTTTTCAATCTCTGTATTTATGTAAAGAAGTTTAGGCTTTGCAAAGAACAAATGCAAAATTCGAATTTATTCTGAAGAAAAACATTTAATTTTTCTGTTCAATATGTTCAGAAGAATTTTTTATTATAAATGAATGTAATTTTCATTTAAACAACTTTAAAAATGTGCCTATGACCTCATTTTACTTTTGTAAAAGGCTTCAAAGAATATAAAATAAATTATGATCAAAGTCTAGTGAAATGAAAAGAATATATTTTTATTAAATATTATTATTTCAAAACTCTTAATTAGTTGGAATTTTTTAATTGGTTCTGCAATGTTTAAATGAAGTGTTTTACACTGTTTTAATGCAACACATCAATTCAATGTTTAATCGGCCACTGGGCCGATAGCTTCAAGCCAGCTCAACTGACGCATAAACAGAACGCCAACCACTCGAACTGGGCATAACCAACCGATCTAGATATAACTACTGAGCTGCACCTGGTAGTTACCTCTTGTTCTCTACTTTTACTGTGCGCTGCTGCTGCCTCACGCCTTGAAGCAGGCGCGCTGTTGCTGCCTCATAATTTTCAACACTTTGCTTACTAATTTTTGTCACCTTTGGTTTTAATGATGCTCAGCGGCGTCGTCGTCGTCGTCGACGTTGTCAGTAATTGTTGCAACGACGACAACGTTGGCGGCAAAGTGGCAACAAAAGTGTGCTGCAATTTGTGCAACAAGAGCAGCCGCCGCGGCAGCCAACTGGCAACGCAGTAAATTATGGCCATGCGGCTAAAAGAGCTGCAAGAATAGCAAAAGAGCCAACAGCAGCGTGAAGAAATCCTTTTGCCAGGACACACACTGAGCGCTCGCGTCGGGCGGTTGAGCAGAAGGCGCGCTTATTACAGTTAACAACGCCATTATGTAATTATGTACTGCACGTCCTCAAGTAGACAGCCTTTTCGAGCACTGTGGCCACCAGCCGAGCCAAGTCCAGGTCGACCGGTCACCCCGCAGCCGATTTACCCGTCCTCTGGTAGCGAGTCCTAAGCACAAACCTTATCAACTGCAGCTCATAGGGCTTGGGGTCGCAAACGATCGCCGATAAGCCACAAAGCACCTTCAATAATCATAAGCGAAATTCCATTTTCAAGTCGATTCCAATAAAAAAAATATAAATACATCAGGGCTCAGTTCAAGACCCCCAAAAACTGACCAAGCGAAATTTATGAACGCCTTCATGTAGGTGGGCAGCGGGCAAACATAAATTTCAATTCGCATTCTGAACGCGTTAAGTTTGCAACATTCATGTGGCACTTGGGCCGCAGGGCAAAACAGCAGTAAGGGGCAGTAAAGAAGCAGTTTGCAAAAATCAATCAAATTTCACTTGGGCTATCGATAATTACAAACTTGCCACCACGAGCACCCGTAGGGGCATGCAGCTGGTTAAAAAACAATTAAAGTTGAACCAAATATGAGATGAAGGTACGCTCGGGCGACAGGTTTTTGCGGAACTGGTTCGCTCCAAGTGCTGCACTGCTCTTCATTCCCCAAGCATTGGACTCGATCTCAATCAATCGATTCCCGCTATAAAGCAGAGATGATCGTAATGTAATTTATGCCCAACGTGAAATTCTGACAATGCATTACACAGCTCATTTCGTGCTGCTTTATACAGGGTGTTGCATGCGTATCTCACCTGCAAAACACTCAAAATCTGATTGCTGTGTTACCTCAAAGCAACACCAACCGACTAGCTAGACTCAAATAGGTCTTCTAAGAACTCTAACACCTGAGTTCCTGCAGAGACCAACCGCAATTATGCCATACGTGTTTCCAATAAGAATACGATACGAGCATAGAACTCACCACGCCTTAGAGTTCTTCGAGGTGCGGGTGAATTGTTGGATCTGTTGGTGAATACAGATCATTCTTTGAATTATTATTTGTTATCATTTATTATGTTATAAATGTATAATATATTATACATGTATGTTGTTCTATATGGTTTCTGAACTTTTATACATACATAGAGATATTTATTAATGCTTATAAAATGTTTACGAGTTCTGCAAACAGAAAATTAAGTTTTTTAACATAAAAACATTTGTTTGTTTTTTATTGTAATCTAAAATAAATCTTTTAAATATTAAGTACCCTAAAAATTAGAATACAACACTTTGTTCTGTTTACTTAAATGTTTTCTTTTTGGCAAAAGAGGAAAAATTAAATCAAGATTTCATTTTTAAGCTTATAAATACTTTACCTTCATTTTTTTCTTTTATTCGACATAAACGATTTGTAACAATTTCCTCGATTTTGAAATACTTCAAATCTTGAATCTGTAATCTCTATATTTTGATTTGCTGGTCAAACCAGCGCACAAATCTCTATTAAAATCAATATCAAATCTAAATTGTTTGCACTGTTGATTTATTTAACACTCAAAATAATTTGTAATGTGAACAATAATTTAATATGGAGCGTTTTTGGCTGTGAGCCACTGATTCCATCGCAAAAGTATTCGCAGAGGGGAAAACAAAATCAAGCCATAAATAAATCGGCGCACACTTCCAGCGATCATCGATCATTTCCAGCGGCCTCCAAAGCCGAACAATAAAAAAGGAGAAAAAATCAAGAAAATAATGAAAAATTCCGTTTTTATCGTATCTAAACATGGTTTAAGATTTGAGAACCTACTTCAGTTTTGTTGGCTGTTGGCTGTTGGGTGTTTGTGTTGGCGATTTGTTTGTTGTTGTTGTTTGTGTTATGTGTGAACACGTTGTGCGCGGGGCCATTAAATCATTGTCCTGAAGGCTTTTAAGTCATTATCGATAAATTTCAACATAAATTCGTAAATTCGTAAATTTGCTTTATTTGCCTGGCCCACACACGCACACTTGTATACCAGTTGTGTATGTGTGTGTTTCTGTCTGACACGTTGTGTCTTGGGGCCTAAATTTGTTTGGCTAATTTTGTTGCCCACGCAGGAAAAAAATAACAGATCCATATCAGTGGTAAAGACGATCCGCACATGTTTCGTTTCCCATTTCTTTTTTTGCCCCGAAATGACCTTGAGAATATGCTGGCCAGGTCCTGCAATTGACACGTCCTGCTGCAATCATAATTCATATTTTGAGGCTGTGTCCATGCTGCGTCTGCAAATGGGCGCAATTATCAGTGGGCATTGTCTCTGAGCTTAGGTAGAGAGCCCGAAACACAAGATGAGGCAAGAACCTATCGACCTTTTTATGTCTGTTTCTCGGTTTCGGAAATCTCTGTCAATTAGTTGCAGTACAGTGCAGCAATTGTGGCATACACGTACAATGGCCAAAGGCACGTCGAGTTCTGATTCCATTTCATTCAAGGTTAATGTTCTTGGCAACATTTTTGGTCAACATTACATAACCAAAAACTCATAACTCATACCACGCAGAGTCCATATTCAGTTCAAATGCCAATGCACTGCACACATTTGGCGTGCCAGGCAGCAGGAATTGCCGGAACTGCAACTGCAACTGCAACTGCAACACGCAATTAATAGGCCACAAGTGGCACGCACCCCCACCCAATTGTTGTTATTGATGATTATGTAAGCAGCGCGAGAAGCAGGAAAACATTTTCAACGCGCGCTTTTAATCAAATTTGCAACAAACAACAAAATGCAAAATCAAAAGCAAATCAAATCGATTGAAAAATTGGTTTACAACTTGCAGCGGATGCGGCTGCAGCAGACGCACGGCCAGCAGCCGGGGCGCAACATTGAGCAGCTGATGACTCGCCGCATTCGGGGATTGGTCTGTGTTCTGGGGCAGCTTCTTGCATTTTTTAATGCATTTTTAAATAAGGAATTTAATAAGCACCTTGGCGGCCGTCGGACAACGACTCGAAAGCAGACATCGACTTCGACGACGACGACGACAACGCAAAGTGGCCCAGACACATGGCCCAAAATAAAAATAAAAAAATAAATATGAAAAAAAAAAACGAAAACAAAAAGACTGCAGGGCGAGAAGCAATTTTTGGGTATAACCCAGAACATACAGTGGGCAACAGATCAACTATATACTAGCTAAAAATGAAAGAGAATTATTTAAACGTCGATTAAGGAAAAACGAGAGAGTAAGGTAATCTTCGGTACGCAGAATATAAAATATCCTTGTAGACATTTTCGAGTAGTGAACTTCGTAGTGCTAAATTTGAGAAAAATATCTTGCCAAACAGAATATTTTGCTAAACAATAACCTATTTTTCGACCGATCATGACACCTACACAATAAATTTATCCGACGTTGATCAAATTTTGTACATACAACTAACAAATGCCGAGTTTTGTCCAGATATCTTGGTATGAGAAAAAGTTTTCTAGGCAAGAATCTAATTTTCGACCGATTGTTTCTATGGCAGCCATATGATACAGCTGTCCGATCCGGCCGTTCCGCAAAACTTCATGACGATAGCTTTAAAACTGAGAGATAAGTTCACATAGAAACAGACAGACGGAGAGACGGATGATTAGACATGGCTACATCAACTCGCCTGTTGATGCTGATCAAGAATATGTATACTTTGTAAAATAATAATACTCTCCACTAGGGAATAGTAGAGTAGTGAAAGATATAGGATATAGAATGAGGGCTTGGCAAAAACTGCCATCAGCTTGAGCATTCGTTGCGCACTTCCTTCTCTTAATATTTCCAGTCCCGACTTGGACACTCGTTATCGAAAATGTAGGTAAAATTGTATGAAATGGAAAAATATGTCCCGGCTTTGTTATTACTATTTAACAATCTGTTATTATTATTTAAAATAAGAATGTTTTCATTTCATTCATTTATTATTATAACATTTAGATAAGTTTCATTCGGTTTTGTCAGTTTTATACCATTGTTCATTGGTCGCTTCTTGGCAGTTGCGAAATCATGTTTTAAGGTGTTTTTGATACCTAATAAAAACAACAACACAGCCCCGGCAAGAAGCACACACAGTTACTCACACAAACACACACGCAAACAGAACTGCAACGAAAACGCGCCATGCCAAAGGGTCAACTGAAGATGGGGCAAGTCAGCAGCGGTGGGCAGGGGTAGCCGCGGACTTAAGGGCAGCGGCGAGCGCCGCAGTGGCCAACAGAAGAAATACTTTTTGGGCCCAGGTCCCCAACATACGTCATAGCGGCGACGTCGACTGCGACGCCGTTCGGCGTGTTTATTATAAAACAACAAATCATTCATTATAACCACTTGTATGTACACACACAGGCACAGATACAGATATGCCTACGCATATAGGTATGTGTGTGCATATGAGAAAGTGGCGTAAACATAAAAAGAAACACAAGCTGGCAACGCCATGAAGTTTTTGGATATGGCCATCTATGTGTTGTATCCGAATATGAGTATCTGTATATGAATTTGTATCTGAATTTGTATCTGTATCTGCGTATGTATCTGTGCGTGTGTGTGTTGCTGTTTGCTGTCGTTTAATATGCATATTTGCGTATTATTTTGATTTTAATAATGATTTATTTATTATTAATAATTCATTGGTGGTGGGCCCTCGCCAAGATCGGATTGGATTTGTGCTGGCTTGAACGCTGATTGCGATCTGATCTCCAGCCACCAGGCAGCAGCGTCTCAAGTGCAAAAGCACCACGCACCTCAAACAGAGCCCGATCTCCAGCCAGGTTGCCATTTGAATACGAGTATCGGCTCAGTTCAACTTTGAGTCCATGAATGGGCATATACTATATATGTGCCCAGCTGAGCCCGATCGTTGGCTGGCTCGTTGGTAACACAAGTTGCGTTATGTTGGAAACATAGGAAACGCATATTATAATGAGCTTCAATTAAGATAGAAATCTCGAAAACAAAAGAGACAAAGATTTATAGGTTCACAATTATGCATTGACTACAACTAGAGGCACTAGACCAAGAGACCAAAACTATGTGAGATTTAGTACAAGTTGACTAGTTAGTGGCAAACACACACACTCACACTCACACTCATACAAACATACATTATCTAATGTTAAAAAGAGCTGGGTATACTTTGAATATTTGTAAAGGGTTGCAGATCACATTAGATTGTATGTTGTGTTTAGCCAAGTGAATATTCCATATTTGCCTGTGGCATAAATTAAAGTATTTCATTTGTGAAATATTTTATCCTAAACCAGTAACAGCTGGCATGGTTAATATGGTAATATATTAAGGTTCGTTCAAGCTTTGAGAAAACACGAGCACAGTAGTGGTTGAATTGTTGAATCTGTACCAAATTAATGTTTTATAAATTCTGGATTTATCATCATTTTATTAAAATATGTGAAATTTGGTTCGGTTGGCAAATTGCGATGCAGAAATTAAACGCAGTTATTCGATTTGAGAAAAGTTTCTCTATTCATTATAATGTTATTTATATAATAATAATATAAAGTAATTCTTAATATCTTAAGTTAGCATATTGGGTTAGAGCATTTGACTAGCGACCATTCGGCTCATTTCTCTTGACCCATTCTCACTCTTTCTCTTAACTTGAACAGTAGCCTTCCATGTTTACCAAGTCTGTGATGCTGTGATTTACGAGTGCCCCATGCAAAACTGGGTAACTGTTATACCAGTTTAAATATTTTGTAAAAGCGAATCGATGTGGTATATGCGATTTTTGGCAAACATGAATAATAGACCAACTATTTTGATTTACTGCCGTACATTGAACTCAAAGATGTTGCCCCTAAAAACCCATCGCTGGGGCGAGCAACGTGTCCCAGCCTTCGCTTCCCTTTTCGGCGCCTGACCAGTAGGAGCCTCTGTCTCCGCCTTGCCACATTAATGTCAATTTAATGTTTCCTTAATGACTTCTTTCGTTGCAACTTCTTTGCCTCTTCTTGTTGTTGCTGTTGTTGTTTCAGTTCTTATCAGTTGCTGGTCAAACTTGTCGCTTGGCTGGAAAGTGTTTATGCTAAATAGCTAACGAGTTTTTCCCCCATGAAAGTGAAGGGCGAGTCTTCAAGTCAACCAAATAGTTGCTTATATCTTTAAAATTTGGAGAGCTACTGCTTCGGTATGATATGGTATTATATGGCATATTCTCTGGCTGACATGTGCTCGACGTACCGTCTATTTATTTGGGTCGGCAATTAAGATTTTTATCAGCGCCATTGATGGGGCAATAAAAACGAAAAGAACTTGCAGACAAAGTGCAAACAAATGCGCGCTCTTTCTGCACTCTATTTCTCTAGCTCACGCTCTCTCCCTCTCCCTCTTTGTCTCTCTGGCTAGCCAGCTCATTTATGCGGCCGGGTATTTGTCGAGAGCGTGCTCCGCTTTAAAAAGTCATAAAAATCAGCTAAATGCGCCTTCAAAAAGGTGTGAAATCACAAACACCCAGCAGCCAGATGGTTTACGGCATGCCTCCGGGGCGCTTGAAGCTGGCTGCTGCACTTGACGAACTGGTTGCCAGTTCTAACCGCAAACTTAATGTTTAATTTTTCGACGCGCACGTCGCTTATAAACACCCCCATCCCCCAGACTCCTGTCTGCCGGCGAGCCGCCAACCATTTGTTTGAATTTGTCTAAAGTGGCTGCCTTTTTGCCCCTCTGCTTTCTCTGTCACTCTTCCCCGTAACAATTTTCATAATTTTCATTGCTACTGCTGCAAAAAAAAGCGTTTGTCAAATTTTCCGTTTACTCTTAGTTGGCGCCCCTGTTTGCAGTCGGGCCCCCCACACTCCGCACATAGTTGTGTTTCCTTTTATTTTTAATTTAATATTTTTCTTTGTTGTTTTCTTTTTTGGGTGCTATGTCTGCAGTCTGCATCTGGATGTCCGTCTGGGCTTACTACTCTCCCTCCGTCCCTCCCTCTCTCTCTTTCTCTCTCACTCTCCTGCTCTAGTGGTGTCTTCCTCGCTCACTGTGTGCTCTTCAGCTGGAAATTACGTTTACTCAGGCGCCAGGCGCGCATATTTAAATACACACGTGTTTTATCGCTGCCATTAAATCATATTTTTATACTTTACCTTTTTGCTGTGCCACCTTCAATGACTCCACACCCCCAGCCCCTACTACGACCACCCGCCCAACCCGACTACTTTTGGGCGCGTTGGCATTTTGATTGTTTACATTTTGCACTTTCACGGCATAAACAAACAAACGGCGCTAAAAATTGTGAGAAAAAGTATAAAATAGAAATACAAGACAGAAGCAGAGACAGAGACAGAGAAAGAGGCACCGTCTAGTTGAAGGGGAGTAGCGGGCAGGGCTTGGTCAGGACGTAAGGGAGCTCTAAGGGCTCTTGTAGCGCCAGACGAAATTCCAAGTGATCTTAAAAGTGGGATTAGCTTTAGTTATTTGATTGATAGATTGACATATATATATATATATATATACAAAAATATTCCAATGAGCCATAACGTAAATATAAATTGAATGCAGAAATGGGTACGCACAGGCCTTGTAATTGAGAACTCTTTTTCGCGTGCTTTTCATCTAAAGTCAGAATACAGTAAAACAATTTTATCAATTGTAACTTTAAACTAAAACCTATTCGATAGAGGACATGCTTCCATCAGAAATATAATCACAGCTTAACCACATTTTCCGAAAAAAAAAAGAATGTTTAGTTATTGAGATTCCAAAGCTTCTATCAATAAACAATTGCGAATAATTTAAAACTTCTCTATTTTGGACCGTGTTGTGCTGTGCAAAACAAAACCCTAATATTGATATTTCTATAAATATAAATAAAAATAGAATAAAATATATAATTGTTTTGGACAGTAACATGTGGAAAATGGGTATGCGGCAAAATTGACTTAGATCAAAGACTATCAAACTGCAAACTGTTTATCAAGCTTGTTTCTTAAGTCCCAATCGCAGCTGATTCCACAAGTTAAACCAAAAGTGTTGCCTTACACTTCCTATGTGATCAGTTGCCTAGGTGAAAGATCAAACGAACGTGTACCTAATCGGCTACTGTGCAGAGTGTACTTGGCTTACGCTTCTCGTAAATCCCTCCACCCCCTTTAATAGTCTAGCAATTTGCTGCGTTATGGTACAAACAACAATAACAACAAGAAAGCTTAGTTTCAATTTACAGAAGTGGCCCCACCACACGTGGGGCTGCTTAAGCATTAATACCTCATGCATCGCTCTCCCCCTGCGTCTCGCCAAGCGGCTGCTGTGGCGTGGAGCTGGTGGAGAGTCAACAATTTTTTAGCATTTTTTAAACGTTTCTCTTCTCTGGTCTTCTGCATTTTCAGGTAAGATAAGATCTGATTTAACACAATACGGCGGCATATCAACAGACATGGGTAAGAAAATTTCCACATTTTTATTTCTTTTATATTTTTATTTTAGTTTGCATTAGCGCAACGAAACTGGTTAAAATCCAGCTTAGAATATTGTAGAGTTGTCTACTAATATTAGAAATTAGAATTAGTTAGAAACTAGCAAAAGGTGTTGGTGCTACATACTCCCCAGCGTAGACATTGGCAAAGCAAAATTGAAGGCGTCAGAGAGGAAAAAGAGCTGAGAATCTTCTCTTGTAACTTAGGGGCGTCAAACGTTAACTCAAATGCGCCAGCCCCAGACCGCGTGGAAATGATTGATTAGTCAGCTCCAAGCCGCCTGCCAGCTGATTAGGCCAAATGCGGCTTGGCAACACGCAACGTCAGCGCAATTAATGTTAACATTAAACAGAGTCAAGTAGCAGCCACCAGCCACACGTCGCAAGTGGCTCGCACTGCGGCCACAACGCTCAGCCACTGCTCTGCCTGCCTCTGCTATCGGCAAGCGGCGACTTCTGTGGCCCAGAGCCACTGGAGGCGTTTAATTTTGAGCCAGTTGCTTGGTGGAGCCTTCGCGTTACGAGGTTATCAATCAGCGCGTCGTCGTCGTCGACGTCGACTTCAAGCAGCTACTTCTTAAAATCCAATTACACGCACAGATTGCCCGTCTGACAGACTGAGACACAGGGCAACTGAGCAATTGCGAAACTGAAATGCCGCCAGACTGATCAGCCACTCAAATTACATGAATCAAGCCGGCGCAAGGCATGAATTGAGGCGCAAAATTGCCGAGACGCGCCACCCAGACTTTGCCAGCAAAGATCCAAACCCAACCTACACGTCACTCTTCCCCTAGATCGAGGCTCCACTCTGCCTCTGCTTATTATTGACTATATTCAATTGATTATCTCGTGCAAAGCAGTAGCTAAATATTGGCACAGACGCAACAAGTGGGCAGCTAGTCCAAGCGTGAGTGTTTGAATCTCTAGAGATGCTCCACGGCATTCCTGGCCGCGGTCATCCTCAGTGCGGTGGGCAGTACTTTTGGCACTTGGCAATTGGCTAAAGTTGGGATAAGATGCGAGATATAGATTGGAGCTGGCAACTAGGTGCCACCGCAGAGAGCTACCACTTTGCCAAAGTGAGTGAGTATTATAAGGTTGGCTCAGCGAAACGATCCCCAATTAAGTTTACTCTAAATAATATGAATTTCGTTATCTTTTAATATGATTTATTGTATATTGAAGTATATTATAAGATGAGACCAATAGCTAGACTGAACTGTCAATACATAGAATGATAGAAAGAAGAGTTACATAAATGTTAAAGTCTTTTCAATCACAAAAATGTGTTTAGATATTAATTTCAGTTCATGTTACAGATTGTCTGGTTACTTTCAGAATCATTAATGCTTTATAATCTTCTTGATAAGATTCTTACTAAATAGTTGATTTCTGTTGTTGACTTCAACGAGAACTTGCAAATACTCTTGGATCTTGATTTCCATTTATTTAATTATTTGATTAAATGTTATTTCCTTAACTTATACATAGAAAAAGGAACATAATATGATATAATCTATATAGCATATGGTATATATGACAACAAAGCCCACCTTTTACCCGCCTAATACAACCTATAATAATGATAATCATTTTGTGCCGCGCAGGTAAAATCTCATAATTTCGCTGTCATTTCTCACTCATTTCAACAGCACAAAAACAGAGCTCAAACCCCAACAGTTGGCGCAAACTAAACGCAACTAGAGGCAAGGGGAAGGTTGTGGGGTTGGGGCTGCATCCATTTGGTGGGCGGGGCCGTCATTCGCAATGCTGCTGACATTGAACATGACATTTTCCCCCAAAGAGATAATTAAATTGCGGGCTTAATAGAATTAAATGCCGTGTTTGCATTTCAAAATCCAAAACGTGCCAAATGCCAATGGCCGTGCTCCCCGTTGCACACCCTATTCCAGAATACGTCGCGGTTCGCCTGACAACAACAATAACAACAACAACAACAACTGCAACAACGACAACAACAACAGAGGCAGCCGCAACAAAAATACAAAAAATGTCAATTTGGACAAGTTTTGATAATTGCAGGCGCGGCCGCGACCGAGGTCCAGAATCGCGTTCGAATTGTGGCGGCAGCTACTGTGCTGCATGTTGCACGTTGCACGTAGCACATGGCCATGGTGTGTGGTGTGCGTGTGTTGCGGCTGCTCCATGTTGCATGTTGCAGTTAATAATTATTGAAATGTGCGGCCGCCAGGAATTGTGCTCGTGCTCCTTGTGCTTCCTGCGCGGCTTCCGTCAGCAGCAGCGGCCACGGCAAAGGCAGCGGCAGCGGCAGAGTCAGCGTCAATGTTGCATGCATCGTTACCTTTAAGCTCTGCTATTGCTGTCGCTGCTGCTGCTGCTGCTGTTGTTATAGTTGTTGCTGCTGCTGCTGCTCAACTTAAGACTAACAATGCTTGCATTTTCCCACCTTTTTCACATAACTTTTCAGTTGTTGTTGTTTTTTTTTTGTTTTCGTTTCGTTGCCGCAGTTCGTCTTCGGCAGCCGTTGCCACTGGCAGGGTAAACAAGTCGGCCACTTGGCCAGCAACTCGTTACCCACCCCTCACTGCTTACTGCCTTTCCGCCCGACACACAGTTAACCCTCTGCGGCGCACACACATCGTCGATGTCTCGAACTTGTTACCACTTTGAAAGCGGGCCGGCCTCCGTTCGGACTGGCCCCTGTAATAAATTCATATTCAAATTGTTAATTGAATATTATTTGTTAAATTTGCAAGCATTAAATGTAAATGTCGAGTGACTGGGCAAATGTGGCGGGGGCGTGACCGCGGGCCGTGCAAATACCGCTTTTCGTATAATTTCGTAATTTTGGTTATTTAATTTTATTTGCTGCTGCCTTGTTAACAGAATTTATGCGATTTCAAGACATTTTAAAATCTGAGCTGCAATTTAACTATTAAATTCATGCATCTTTAATGCTGGACCAGTTCTCTGGCGCCAATAATTTGGTCACTGTACCAACGACCCGTATAAAAATCTCACCCAAAATAACAAAAAAAAAAAAACGCATCGATGAACAACGAATACTCGTGACTGTTACTGTAAATGTAACTGACTGTCGCTGTAACTGCGACTGCGACTGCGACTGTAATTGTATCCTGTGTCCTGTGAGATTGTTGGCTGTTGTCCTTGTCAGGCGCTTTGCGTTGGCTGTTGTTGTGCAATTTCCATAATTCATATTCATAGACATTACAAGCGGCCAGACAAACAAACAACAAACGAGGCTGCCGCGAAGCTACCTGCACCTGCAATACGGACAAATGTCCGTCCCAACAGTCGCCAAAAAAATAGATCCACAAAAAAGAATCTGCAAAGTGTAAATGCGGCCAAAGTGCAAAAATTTCACATATGCTTTGGCGCAGGTTAACAAAAAACCCCGTATAAAGTGAAGCTTACATAAAACGTTTCAGCAGAAGCAATTGAGGGGGAGAGATAGCTAGAGAGAGGAAAAGAGCTAGAGAGTGCTGTGTAACACAGAGACTATTGCGGCACGTTTATACATAAATAATGCTCTACGATCTCAACAAGTGCATGGACAACTCAAAGGTTTATCCATTCATTTGATTGAGCTTTGAATAACGAGTAATTTATACCCTGACACGAGAGACGGAGACCCTCATAAAACAAACAGCAAATCAACAAGCCCATCATCATCATCATCATCATCATCAAAATCATCGCAAGCATCAATGCCGAACAGAATTCAACTAAAGTATCTTACAGATACGCATGCACCATCAACGTGCTACATTTGATTCTACACACAGACACTTCGAAATTATTAACTGGGGAGCATTTTGTAGTTCGGCAAGCGTAAGTGTTGTCCTGGACCTCGAACAGCAAACTGACACAGAAACACTTCATAAAATGGCACACGGCACTTTCGTTTTTCCCGTTGGCATCTGCAGCACGTGAATGAACAAGATGAGAAAGAGAGAGAGAAAGCAGGTGAGAGGGCAGCCAATAGAAGGGTGCCACATATGGCAGTGGACAACGACAGCTGGAGCTAACCACCAGGTTTCAATTAATGAATTAGTAATTTTGGCTTCATTGCTGTAATGAACAATAGGACCAACGTCTAGTGGGCGGATTGTGTAAAATTTCTATTAATGTTGTTATAAGACAGTTTGCCATAAATGATAACTTGTGGTTGGTATCTAATGGTGCTGAAAATCACAGTTTATTGATGCCAATAGTGAAGGTGGCCATTTATTTGATATTTCAAGAAAAGCAAATATTAAAGAAATAATATTATATTTATATCCCATATCCAAATGTGCAGGAAGAGTGGAAGGCACTCCAATTATTTGGCAATTTTTAAAGCCAGACTTACTTTTTACTAAGAACAAATTTTTTAAACTTGTATTATTAATACATGTATTTTTTGGAAAAGGTAGACTTTGAAACATACACATCACTTAAGAAAACGGGAAAAGCGACTGCAGGAAAGTAAATTGAATGTGAACATGAGCAGAGATACATTTAATTAGATTTCTACACTGTAAGTCTTACCTGCATTCATGAGAATCACGAGAATCGAGTAGGACACATCAAGAAAATAAAAAATCGAATAAAAAGATAATTAAAATTATGGAAAAAAGGTAAAGAAAAAGAGAGTATTCTATAGTGATTAGATTGTAATCTGTAAATCTTAAATACTTAAGATTGGCAGAGTAGAGCAATGTTGTTCTTGCAGACCAGCGGGTGGTAAATCTGCTCCTCTGGTAATAGAACATATTTGCATTCGTAATTCCTTTATATAATGTGGCATATTTAAAAATCTTAAGCCCTTATATCAGTTAAGTTAACTTCTGTCAGCAAATCAGTTTGAAGGCTCTTGCGGTATGGGCCATCCGTTGTCAGTCAGTCATTCAATCAGCCGGTGCAACCAGTTTTATATATAGATTATTAACATGAATGGAATTGTGCTTAGCATTTTCA